CTGACACTATCCCCAGAAATCACACCTTAACTAAATTGTTGTTGTTGTTAAGTGCCATTGAGTTGGCTCCGACTCATAGAAACCCTGTATAGGAGCAGCTGGTGGTGGGTTTGAACCTCCAACCTTGAAGTTAGCAGTCAGTGCTTTTTCCACAGAGCCACACACCAGGACTCTTTTAACAAACTGACTGGCTCAAAAAGTAAAAAGTGTTATCCTTGAGTACTGTGCTTGTTTAAAAATGGACAGTAGTTATCCTAAAGCACAGATCTGAAGACTGGGGACAGTGAGGCTAGGTTAATGGGACTAGAACCAGATTGGAACTAATGAAAATGTTAACATATTATGAAGACTATAACCAGCATCACTAAATATTATGTGAATTCATAGTGTTGGACGGGGAACTGTTCAGCTGTGCACACTTTCACTAAAAACAATTTTTATAAAGAAGAAGGCCCTGAAAGTCATTTGCTTTAATTCAAATCCCAGGTTTTCCACTTGCCATATGTATAATTTGGGGCAAGTTGTTTACTCTCTCTATGCCTCTTTTATAATCCAGAGATTAAAAACCCTTACAAGATTGTTGCCAAATTAAAAGTAAAATGATACACATATAGTAGTTAGCATGTTAACTGGTAGAGAGTAAGAATACAAATGTTTATTATCATTATTTATGTAGTATTAAGGGGATGGAGAAATAAGAATGCAATTGGACGATATTTCTTGTTGTTAAGTCCTGACGAGCCGATTCCAACTCACAGCGACCCTGTACAGCAGGGGTGGGGAAGGTCCAGCCCATGGGCTGAAATCATTTGGTCTGGCCCTGTCAAGGCCACCTTACGTCTAGTCATCACATTAGGGGTGAGTTAATTAAATGTTTGAACAAATACAGCAAGCTAATTTTTAAATTAATAATTTTGTATGACCCACAAATGATATTATAAATTTTGGCATAAGAAAGGTTCTCCACCCCTGCTGTATAGGAATTCCAAAGAATGGCTGGTAGGTTTGAACTCCTAACCTTATGGCAAGCAGTCCAGTGTTTATCCTACAACACCATACCAGAACTCTGGAAGATATTTAAGCAAAAACTGACAGTAAGAAAAAGTGTGAATGGAGTAAGTAGCCGAACTCCAGTCTCTGGTTTTGCTAAGATGAGAAATACAGAAGCAGGTTTGAAGATAACGTTCATTCTTGAATACACTGATTGTGAGAGACAATCCAGGAGGATGAATAAAGTGAAGAAAACAGATCAAGGCTGTCATTTTGAGAATCAGCAACATGGATGGTAATAAAAACCCAAAGAGAGACCCCATTCCCAGAGATACATTATGTAGAACGAGGACATTATGGCACTGGGTAGAAACTAGGGTACACCAACATTTAAGGGATAGGCAGGAGAAGAGAGGCACTAAGTGAAAAGTAAGACAACAAAGTACAAGATCTCAAAAGCCAAAAGAAGTATTCAACAAAACGGGGTATTCAGCAATGTCACTGCTGCCAAGCAGTGAAATAAGTTAGGGACTCAGTGATGTCAGTGATGTAGCAACAAAGTTATTCAATCACATAACAAAAATGTGTCAGGCATCATGCTAGGCACTAGCGATCCAGAGGTAAATAAGACAGTAAACAAAAGCCTGACTAATAGTGATGAGGAGTGTGAGCAGAGAGCTAGCATGGCATGATGGAAAGGAAAAGGCAGAGGCCAGCTTTAGGTAGGGAATTCTGGAGGACATCTCTCTGATGGAAAATTTAAGTTGAAACCTAAGGAAGGAAAGGGCTTAGCATGGTCAGGGAATGCAAAGGAGTCCCATGTGGCTATAGCACAAAGATCAAGAAGGGATGGAAAGGCAGACATCACCATATTTGTAGATCACACTGAGAGCATACTGAGAGGAGTTTAGATGATGGCCCTTTGACATTATCAGTATTAAATAAAACGTATACAACTTTCCAACTCATAGCAACCCTGTAGGACAGACTAGAATGGACCCACCATGTTTCCAAGGCTGTCTAACAGTACCTAAATAAGCAGATTTTCCTCATGCTACTAGTCATAGTAATGAAAAATGGGATATTTTATTACTCTTTCAAGTAGCGTTTATTATAACAGTATCAGAATAATTTGTTTTTCATTTTAAAAGGATACATGTTACCTTTATCATTACAACATATTACCTGTTGCATTACTTTTACTAATCTCCTTTTTAAATCTTCTTTTATACTTCTTTCAAAGATACTTCTCATAATGTCTGCTTGATTCTATCATTAAACCACATTTATCCGAGTCATTTCTCATTTTCAAGCAATATAAATCTAAATTTGAATGTTTTAATAACTGATGGAACCCAACAAAAAACATTACACCCATAAGAGTTGCAGTTTGCGATTTCCTTAAGTTCAAGCATTTAGATCCACATTGTTGGTAGGTGCCATCAAGTCTGTTGTGACTCACAGAGACCCTGCATAGGGTTTCTTGAGAGCAGCTGCTGAGTTTGAACCATCGAGTGCTTATGTTAGGCTAAAGAAAAGTTGTTGGAGCACTGTTAGTTGATGTAGAAAGTTTTGGCTTGATTGTGAGCAACTGAATTGTATGCTCATATTGTTTTTAAATTTCTTTCATCCTCAAGTGGAAGAATTTATGGCCTTTTCTTATTTAACAAGACTACCTGGTGTGGTGCTGTAGGATAAGCATTGGACTGCTAACCAAAAAGTCAGTGGTTCAAACTATCAGCTGCTCTTCAGAAACCCCACATAAAGTCGCTAAGAGTCAAAATAGACTCAACAGCACTTAACAACCACAACAATCAATAATAACACTAATAATAGATCATAATCTATTATCAGGCAGTGTGGTAGGCAGATAATATCAATGATTTTTAATCTTCTCAATATCCATAAAAAGTACGTATTATTCTTCTCATTTTATGGAAGAGAAAATAGTTCATTTCAGAGAAGTTGGGTGACTTGCCCAAGACTGCAGAGCTGGCATTTAAATCCAGTTTTGTAAGCTCTAGACTTCTAGTCATTATACCAGAAAATCTCAGATTATTAACAGATTGGATTCCTTAAAAATGTCTGGCAACTATAAGAATTAACCATAAAGACAAATTTTTAAATAATAAAGAAAGGTTGTTTTATTCAATATTTAATAAAATGTATACAACTTTCCAACTCACAGCAGCCCTGTAGGACAGACTAGAACTGAGCCACCGTGTTTCCAAGGCTGTAAATCTTCAGGGAAGCAGATGGCCACAGCATGCTCTCGCAGAGTAGCTGGTTAGCAGCCAAGTGCTTTAACCACTGTGCCACCAGGACTTCTCTACTATGGGCTGGGATCAACTCAATAGCAGCGGTTGTACAACTCAGATACATTCGGCATATACGACACTCATATCTGCTTCTTCCATTGGCACAAAAATAGAATTGAATTTTTTATTTAATAATGGAGAATATAATGGTAGCGTAGTGGTTACGAATTGGGCTGCAAACCTTAAGGTCAGTGGTTCGAAACTACCAGCCGCTCCGCAGGAGAAAGATGAGGCTTTCTACTCCCGTAAAGATTTATACCCTCGGAAACCCTGTATAGGGTCGCTATGGGTCGGAACCGACTCGACGGCACTTAACAACAACAACAAACATAAAATGAAGCTATAAAAGATAGCCATACTGTACTTGATCCAAGAATTACTCTTCTAGGTAAGAAGTTTTTCCCAGTTGATCCTTATTAAGTGCCATGGAGTCAGTTCCAACCCATAGCAACCCTGTAAAGGGTTTCCAAGGAGCAGCTGGTGGGTTTGAACCTCCAACTTTGCAATTCAACTGACCTTGTAGTCCAGTGCATTGTCCCACAGCGCCACACCAGGAATCCTGTCAAGTGAATTATCAGCTACTAGCTGCCTAGTCTCACAAAATATATTGGCCTCTCAAAGTTAAAAACTACAAATGGCTTAAAGTAGTCATGACTAAAACAATACAAACCCAAACTCTGATTAGAACCTCTAAATATCACTTTCTGAATAGAAACATCATAACATTCTCTAAGCCGAAGTTACACATTTATTGTACTGCAAGCTTTCTTCTGAGTATCCAAGTCATCCACCAAGATATTGTCTGAAAAAGTCTAGATATTTAACAAAAATAAACTGCTGCCATGTAATCTTTATTTTCCTTAACAAAATAATATACAGGAGCACAAAATTCACTTATATATCATTATTTTACAAGTATAAATAATGCTCAGAATTCAAGCACAGTCAAGTGCAGAGATGCTTCCTATTTGTTCAAATGTAAACATAAGCTAATTATATACATCGTGTGCCTTTGGCCCAGCTGCAAAAAATAAGTAACATCAAAAACAAATACTGCACTTGACTGACTGTTCAGTTGCATTCTTACTGAAAATTCGTACCAATGCCTATGTAGTTACAGTTACATTGTTCATACCTTTGAATGTAAATGCCTAAAAGACACTTTTTCTCCCCTAGGAAATAACTCAAGTTAAAATTCTATACATTTTTAAATGAGGAAGTATACACAATTTTAATTGAGTTTTGTTCCTTAAATCAAACACTATTAAAGAACTTATTCCTACCCAATGTGCTTCCTATGTCAAAATGGATACAATTTACAGGTCATACATACAGAAAACAGGGATGCCCTCTTGTTTGTTTACTTTTAGTATGGACAAAAGATATCTAAAAGTTGTCTCCAATGGATGTTATCTTGCTGATATCACTTGCTTTTAATTTCAACATCCAGTAGACACAGCTTTGACTTTGAAATAGCTGTACAATCTAAACTTAAATGATACCAAGGATATCCTTAAGGTGGG